GTAGGCCAGTGGGCCTACAGCTACGTATGAGCCCAACGGTCTAGATTCAATCTGGGCCTATTTGACGGACACAACCTCATTTCATATTTTAATTTTAATGTTTTTTCTACAAATCCAAATCATGAGAAATTTTAAGTATCTATTCTTCTCATTGGCCCACCTAATAAAAATGTTAAAAAAATAATTCGCAATATATAAATTGATCAAAATAGCACTAAAAAGTTTCAGGGGCATTTTGGTCAATTTATTTCTCAAGAAATAGTTTCTTGATATTTTTATTGTATTCTCCTAGTTATGAAAAATACGCGTCCAAACTTTAAAGTGATTTGGATATATAAAAATAAAATAAAATTAAAATACGAAATGTAATTGTGATAATTGGATCAGCCCAGATTCAATCTGGGCTGTTGGGCTCATATGGCTGTGGGCCCATTGGCCTATGCTAGCATTTCTCTATCTACCTATATATATATATATATTTCATGTCCATGTGTTAATGTAATATAATGAAACCACACTTCTAGAAAACCATGTTTTTGGCATTTGTATAACCCAAAAAATTGTTATCCCAATAATCAATCCCAAAAAGATAAAATTTTAATTTGTACCCTAGATATGATCAAAATGAATCTCCTCCAACAATGAATCTAGACCATCCATTTGGTGAATTTCAAGATCTAGGGGTTTATGAACTCAAAATCATTTTTTTCTTTTTTCAAGTTCATGCAATGATAGATGCGATCTAAAAAATTTGTAAATGAAAAAAATCCTTCTAAAGTTTAAATCTAAGCATCTTCGCAAAATCGACACCCTGTATTAATTGGGTTAAAAAAACACTTTCTTGGTTGTGTTTTCAAATTTTTTTTTTTTAGTTGTTTGTTGGAACGAGTAGTGTATATTTAAAAAATTGGGGTCAAATAAATAGCCTTAACATGGTTTTCATTATATTACTATACAACCGTTGCATGAAATCGCTCCCATATATATATTATTTGTTTTTGCTTGTGTGCAATGATGTCCTTTAAGTGGGAAAAGACACACAAGTCCTTATGTACTTAACTACAATAAAACATAGTATAAACTTTAACCTTGACAACATATATATCATCATCATTCGAGCCTTATCCCAATTATACGGGGTTAGCTACGCAAATATATATAACATATATACACTACAGATTTTGTAGCTTTGAAATTTTAGAAGCTTACATTGTCCCTTTGAATCACCCATTCTATGCCTTAATCTTTTTTAATGTGAGGTTATTGTTAATCCTTTTCTATGTTGGATCCTGATTATGTGTTTTAGTTTCCTAACTTGATATTTACATATTTTCACTCTATTGTTCCAAAAATCCGTGTCCTAAATTTTGGAAAAGCTGAGTTGTATCCCTGCATCCCATATATGTTTGTCAGTTTTTATATCCATGCATAATAACTCATAAATGTTGTTGCCGCACCACCCAAATATATATTTAAACGATCTAAAAGACTGACATTTTCTAATTTGTATGGCTTGATTTCTATGTATTGCTTCAATTCTAAGCGTTTTTTCCAATCTCAGGCGCTGGATTCAAGCCGTATTCAGCTATGTAGATAATGTTGGATCTTCACCTTCCCTGACAAGTAATGGTGGAGAAGAAGTTAAGAGCCATGTCCAAATCATGAACAGTTCTGTTTTGAAGCCTGATATCAGAACACTTAAGAAGCCAGCTGATGGTGCTACTGATATAGACATGTCCTATTGCTTGGCTGAAATGTTCGGAATTCCCCATGGGTATGATGCGGTGAGCTTTTGTTCTTAGTTTTTTTTATAAGAAATAGCTGCATCCATTTCACCATGAAACTAAATTGTGAGAGTTTGATTGGGAGAATAGAAAATTTATAATGAGTTAAAGAATTCTAATTTTTGAGGCATGGATTCTAATTTCATAGTTTCTTGAAAGCTCCACTTTTTTATTTGTTATGGAATAACATCCATGAGCAATTACATCACTTGCATCCATTTCTTGAAATACGATACTGGATGGTTGCATGGTTATTAACCTCTCTCATGAAATGGTAAAAGTTGTTACTCATAAATTTGAATACCCTTACAGAAAGTCACTTATGTACAATATAAATAAATAAATAAATAAAATAGTAAATAAAAATGGGAAAGTGTAGAATGAGACCATTTACCTCTGGTACAAGGTGGTCACATTAATCTTGACCATTGGATATGAAATTGGGTGGCTGCAATTATTCCATTGACCAAGCTAAAACTTCAAAAAAAAATTTCTCGAGCTTTGCGACACATCCAAACTATCAAATTTCACATCGGATGGTTGTAAGTAATTGTGACCACCTTGTATCAAAGGTAAATGGTCTCATCGTATAATAAGCATACTTATGGGTTTTGAATGGTATGGTGATGGATAAACATTCTTATTTCAATAAAATGGAAGCACTGCTGATACGCTAAGATGTAGGACAAACCTTTTACAACTATAAAAGGGACAAGGTGGGCAATGACACGACACGACACATGAGAGATCAGCTCAATGAGCTTATGGTGTTTGCTCCTCTTGGTGTGATGGGGCTTGGGATCCTCTTTGCAATTCCTTTATTGGAAGTAGTACTTTGACTTACTTTTTCGGTCACAAAAAGACTTCCATAGCCTATAATTTGAGAATAAACAAATTGGTTCAGGTCTTTACAGCAATTAAGATGGGTTGAATCTTGAATGATACATAACAGTACCCAAGTTGATGGCAACTTTATGTCTTCAGTTGTAATAAAGGTGGCTTTCAAGAAGCGTGCCATGGACAAGGGATCCTCACAATTTCTCTTAAGATGAATTCTATGATGCATATTTATTTATTTATTTACTTTTGGGGATCTTGAACTATCTTTCAGTGCACAGAGATCACTCTGAGTGGGTTCGACTTCAAAATAAAAGGACTTTCCAGAGAACACCAGCACACCTGCAAATCTACTGGTTTGATGCTATGGGAGTCCGCTCACCTGATGTCCTCAGTTATATCAGAAAATCCAACAATTGTTGCTGGGAAGAGGATCCTAGAATTGGGTTGTGGCTCAGGTGGAATTTGCTCAATGGTTGCGGCCAAATTTGCGGACCTTGTAGTTGCAACTGATGGTGATTCAGAATCTCTCAACCTATTGCATCAAAACATTAATTCAAATCTGGAGCCTTCAATCCTTGACAAGCTGCACTGCCTGAAACTAGAATGGGGAAATGTAGATGATATCAATGCAGTGAAGGAACTAAGCCCTGAAGGATTTGATGTGATTATTGGCACCGACGTGACTTATGTGAGTGATGCCATCCTTCCCTTATTTGAGACTGCGGGGGCTTTGATCTCTACCAGAGTTTGGGGGCCACCACCGGCCTTTATCTTGTGTCATGTTTTTCGTCGAGTTGATGAAGCATCGATCATTTCTACAGCATCTAGTTTGGGATTTGGACTGGTGGATAATTGGCCCTTTACTGATAGTAGTAGTAATAGTAGTAATAGCAGTGATGTTGGGAGCAGGCGTGGTACCATTGCTTCGTGGTTCTCTCAAGAAGGTAGCTGCAAGAGAAATTCCCACATAACTGCTCTCACAGTCATGTATTTTGAAACCCTAAATAAGTTTACATGATTGATTTGTGTATGCTTGCATTTCTATGAACACCAAAAATTTTGTATCTTCTTATTGTGGTCGCACTTGATTATTTGTGAGTATTTCTTTCTATTTTTTGCTGATCTTATGTGTTATTCATGCTGTGGTGTTTGGAATTTTGATGGGAATATGAGATTTCGTCAAAGATTAGGGTAACTCCTGTGCCGACATATTTGGGGCTGTGAAGCTTTATTGTTGAACCTGAATCTGGATCGCAGGCTAAATGTAATCGCTTCCCAAAAATTCCAAATGAGTCTCTACTGCAATATGGTGAAGTTCATGTGAAATTCATCTAAACTTGGTTGTGAAATTCACCAGAAGTTAGTAAATATATCCAAGGTAAATGCAGGGAAAAAAATTTGCATCGAACAATAAAATTTCCAGGGATGACAAATTTTTCATATTAGCTGCGTGTTTCCTTGAATTTGGATCTTGTTTGAAAATATGGAGAAAGAAAAAACGTATGCTCTAATTCGATGGATTATGACGGAATTGTGGCTTAGGCATTGCGATCCAATGATAAGGACTGTAAAGAGAGAGGGGGACCCACCAATGAGAGTCATTTTTTGTGCTATTGGTTCCCACTCTCTCCATCATAGGGGTGGCGATGGGCCAAGTGGATGCACGCTTGGCTCGGCCCAGCCTGAACTAGGGCCTGTGCGACAACATGTGGCCTGAGGGCCGGGCTACGGTGGGGCAACCATGGCCCGAGGGTAGGGCCAGATCGGGCTTGGGTTAAGGTTGGCCCTGTTCGGCCAAGCTTGCTCTCTTTTTTCTATGGTTTTTTCTTTTATTTTTTTATTTTTTAAATTGTTTTTTTTTGCCTTGGCACAACCCAAATAGGGCTAGGGCCGGGCTAGGGCTTATTTGGCCTGGTTAGAATCTGGTCGGCCCTATGAGGACTAGGGCTGTGCTAGGGCCATAACGGCCCGGCCAGTGCCACCCTACTCCATCAAACCTGGTGATCACCCAATTGTATTTGTCATAGTTCATTGGATTAGAGCTGAAAAGAAAAAGTTTGTTAGCAAGTAAAAGGAAAAGGTGCTTGCGGGTGTGTGAGTGATTCAATCAAAGTCTTGAAATAGGTAAGACAACCCGAGTCAAATAATCAAGAGATTGTTTTGGGAAAGTATATAAAGGCACTATTTATTTTTGGTAAAGCATATAAAGAGACTATTTAATATTAGTGCAAGGTCACAGTCACTCTCGTCTGGCAAATTTATCTGTCAAATTTAAAATGCGGTGGCTGTATAACTCATAACTAGATTCAAAGTTCAAAAAAAGAGAAAATTATAGCTTCATGACCCAAACCATCCAATTTAACATTTAATGGTTAGAAATAATTATGACCTCCTTATATTAATGATTAGAATTAATTATGACCTTCTTATGTTAAATGGTCTTGTATAATCTCAATTGTTTTATGATGGTGGGCCCACATGCCTGCATATTATATACATCATCCAACTTTATTGGGCAAATTGCGTATCCCTACAATTTCCGCAGTCCAGTTAAGTTGGGATGGCAAAGATGGCATGCTAGCACACGGTCCTACCCACATAAAAACAGTGTCCAAATAATAGAAGGATGGAACTTTGCTTGTAGGGACACGGACTTTTAGGGCATATTTGATTTTTAAAACTTTGGATATCTGTGGGAGCAAAAAGTCCTAGGTTTCATGTGTGACAACATGGAATGCTGCACTACACAAAGGCGTTGGAATTTCTATCTCAATGTTTGAGTTGTATTTTTGGTCATTTTATGTTTTTGAAAATATTCGTTTTATATGTTTTGTAGGTGCGTAATGGATGCGCCAAATTTCAATTAATTTCCATGAACATATTAAAAAGATAAAATTCAAATACTTAAAAATGCCCTCGATTGTTTGAATAATGTATGTGCCAAATAACAACTGATTTTCATCATCATCATTATTTGAGCTTTATCCCAACTATTTGGGGTCGGTTACACAAATCCTATTTCACTATTTTGTTTTATTAAGTGCCATACCTTTAGTCAGACTATGGGTCACTATATCTCTTATCACTGATTCCATCTCTGTCTTTTTTGGTTTTCTTCTTGCTCTTCTAGAGCCTTACACTTGAACCAAATCGCCCTTCCTAACTGGTGTTGTTATAGCTTGGTGCTGCATATGACCAGACCACCTAAGATTATTTTTTTTCATCTTATTGACTTTTTGGAGCCACCCCTAAATTCTCTCCGATGTATTCATTTTTGATCTATCATTTATTGTCATGCCACTCATCTATTTCAATATTTCATATCAGCTAACCTCATTTTAGGAATATGTTACTTAGTGAATGCCCAACATTCTATCCGATAAAGTATGACTGATCTTATAGCCATTGTGTATACCTTCCCCTTTAGTTTCATTAGTATGGGAAGATTATATAAGACACCAGAAGTACACTTCCCCTTCATCCACTTAGCTTTAATTTTATGCGCGAAGTCTTCCTTAATATCTCCATTCTCACGAGTAATCAACCCAAAATATCAAAAATAATGACTTTTACGTACTTCTTGGCCATCAATATTAATTAATGGGTGTGGTTTGCATAAAGTTTCAATCTTAAACAATCCAATTAAGGAACACCTTCAAATTTTATCATAACATGTAATTTTGGTGTAGAACATTTTTAGGATTATCTGAAAATCTATTTTCATCTCTAATTATAAGATTTTAAATTCCAAAAATGGTTAAAATCAAGTAGATCTATAAACATATTAAAATCTTGAAAATGGATGGTCTAGATAATATGTAGCAAGATGCACTATTTTTGGGACTCAAAATCTATTTTTTTCCACATTCATACATCTCGATGTCGAGATGATCAATTAAAGATTTTTCAACATTAAAACAACCATTTCCGAAGGATTTTTTGAGGTGGATCTTTAATTCTACATTTTAAGGTTGCAACATTATATAAACTTTTTCTTTAATTAATTCCTATTTTTTACTCCTATTATTACTAAACTCGCATTCCAAATATTATGTCTTTGTCCAACTAATTTTAAGCCCTTTTGATTCTAGAGTATCCCTCTAAAGTTCTAACTTTGTGTTGATGTCATCTCAGTCTCATCAATGAAAGTTATGTCATCTGCAAATAACAAACGCTACAATCCATCATCCTTTAGATGCCTAGTTAACTCTTTTGTAACTAAAACGTATATATATGAGTTCAATGCTGACCCCTAGTGTAGTTCTACTGTCACTGAAAACTTACTTGTTTTGCCATTATTGTCCTCACATTGGTTAGTCCACTCTCCTACATTTCTCTCACCATGTTAATATATCACCTAGAAACTCTTTTCTTGTCAATACCAACCATATTAACTCTCTGGGCACCTATCGTATGCTTTCTCAAAATCAATAATGACCATGTGGAGGTATTTTTTCTTTTTTCTGAACTTCTCAATCAATTGCATAAGTAGGTATATTGGATCAATTCTTGGACTCCCTGGCATAAGACTGAACCAATTTTCTAATGCACTCGTTTCATGTTGTAGTCGTTGTTTAATCACTCTTACCTACAACTTTATATTATGGCTGATAAGTTTGATCCTTCAATAGTATGTCTCCTTCGTTTCTTATAAATAAACACCACAATATGGCATGACCCAGCCCCCAACTATCCCACCTTACCCTGATGGAGGGCGACCGGGCACGGGTTCGTGATCCCCTTGTAGCGTTTGTCTCTCAGGTAAGAGTGGATTCAACGCCTCTTTCTTGGTAATCGAGCAAACCAAGGAAAGTAAAAGCTTATGTCTAGAATTTAAAACTTGACCAAACCATTATCCAAAAAAATGATACATTACATTACATCCAAAAGTAATACAACAGAGTTCAATTTAAAGAAAATAGTACAATCAGAGCTGAGAGCTTGACAGCCTACAAGGTCTAAAATTCCTCCTCTGAATGGCCGCCTTGATCCTTGGCTGCATCCCGAGTTCCCAACTCCGAACCTACTACCCTCAGTTTATAGGGAGGGAAAAATAATGAATGACCTTTGACGCTCAGTAAGCAGACCTAGCGTTATACATTGGTAACAAGTCTATCCAAGATAAATAAACAATTTATTTGAACATAATAAGTGGCAGTGCAGTAGTCCTGTATATTGGTCATCAGGTCAATGCATCAATTATAAACACGATATCCAAGTAACAGTGCATTAATTATAGACATGGTATCCAAAGGACAGTGCGTCCATTTTAGACATATCATGCAGTCATTCTAGTTATAAGAAAATCACAATCACAATTTATCCATTACATACTTACTCCCTAATTCACCTACTCTTGCGAGTAGAAGCCTTATCCATCAAGCCAAGTCAATCCCGTTGCTTAGGACTTCTATCATCCCACAGGAGGGAGGATAATGACAAGCGGGTTAAACCACTTCGTAATACCCTCAACTTATGCACACGGTCCCCAACGCACATTGGGGTTTTAACAGGCCTTTACCTTGCAAGGCATCCATCAATCACATATCTCATCTCATGAATCATAAAAAGCGACCCTCCTTTCTCCCCTAATCAGTTCCTGTCATTGTGCAAGTTAGGGAATATGCCGGTATCACCTCATCGGTGTATCAATCTCCACTACCGATGGGTGCTTCATCGCTTAGTGGCCGATATCCGTAAACAATGGGCAATATTCTCCTCAATGTAACAGTACGATACTCACTACCAATGGGTGTCCCATTGTGTAGTGGTCATCATTAGGCCTCTTTCCATGCTTGAGCAGTCAATTCATTTATGCCAATTCAATACCTCACAACAAATAAATCACATTCTCATCATAACAGCATGGGAATTAACACGAATCATTACATAAATCGTAGCACAACATTTACACATGGACATCATCAATGGCATTTTGGCACTCATCATGAAACTTCTATCGTGAAGCTGTCACATTAATATTGCAATTATCACTATTTCACATGGCACATTGTGGCGAAGCCTCATTCGCATTATTTTATGGCACGTGCATAATTATCATATAACATTCGCTTATCGTTTATCAAGGAAAATTCAATGTTTCGAGTAATAGCTAAATGAGA